CAAGACCCAAGGCCATAAAAACAGTCCCAGGGCTTCCCTGGTGGCGCCGTGGTTGAGAGTCCACCTGCCGATGCAGGGGACATGGGTTCGTGCCCCGGCCCGGGAGGATCCCACGTGCCGCGGAGCGCCTGGGCCCGTGAGCCATGGCTGCTGAGCCTGCGTGTCCGGAGCCTGTGCTCCGCAGCAGGAGGGGCCACCACAGTGAGAGGCCCGCGTACCGTAAAAAAACAAAAAACAAAACAAAAAAAACACAAAGTCCCCCACCTCACCTCTGGTCTCCAGGGAGATGATTCGTTAAAGGGAACCAAGGGGAAAAAAAGACATTTCCTATTCCTGGCATAAGCTTTGTAGCCAAACAGACCTAAATTTGAATTACTGTTCCATGCTTGGGCAAGATAATTAACCTCCTAAGCCTCAATTTTATCATCTGAAAAATATAATTAGTACCTACTTCACAGGTTTGCTGTGTAAAATACTTGGTACATTATAAATATAAGTTCCTTTTTCTCCTGCAAGACTTCGGGGTATCACCCATTCCGGTTTCATCTCTCCCTGGTACACAGCTTTCTCTCTGGCTGCCAATGTCCAACTGTTTAACTGTCTGTGAAAAAATAAAAGTTGAGCTTGGTGGCATCTGAGTTGTTGAATGGAGGACCCAATATTCACAGGGGATGGTGTCCATCTCTCTTGTCCTGATCCTCTCCTCCAACAAGTATCAATCAAAATGCTTATAAGAGGAAGGCTGATGGGGTTTGAAACACACCTTTTTGCTGGCTAGGGAGCTGTTGGTTGGACCCATTGCAGCGCTTGTCAATACCTCCACCTGTCCATTTCCCTCACAAGATAGCATTTCTTATAATTCAAGCTCCAGTATGATATTCATTACTTACAAAAACCCCACCACTCCTAAAAACCCTGCCAACTTTATCTCCCCCTCTTCCCCATCAGGTACCCTACCCTCCTGCCAATCATAACTAGATGATTTTTTTCCAGAAGTCTAAATATTGGAAGCTGGGCTTCCCTGGTGGCGCAGTGGTTGAGAATCCACCTGCCAATGCAGGGGACACGGGTTCGAGCCCTGGTCCGGGAAGATCCCACATGCCGCGGAGGAACAAAGCCCGTGCGCCACAACTACTGAGCCTGTGCTCTAGAGCCAATGAGCCACAACTACTGAGCCCACGTGCCACAACTACTGAAGCCTGCGTGCCTAGAGCCCGTGCTCCACAACAAGAGAAAACACCACAATGAGAAGCCCTCGCCCCGCAACGAAGAGTAGCCCTCACTTGCCGCAACTAGAGAAAAGCCTGCGTGCGGCAACGAAGACCCAATGCAGACCAAAATAAATAAATAAATGTTAAATAAATATTGGAAGCCAAACAAAAGAACTATGCTAAAATTTTTGTAAATATCATTTTTAGATCCTGATTTCGCACCGGGTGTGCAGTAGTAGTATGACCAGCTGGCAACCTAACAGTGGCGTAGACTAAGCAACAGAAATAGGGCAATGCAAACTACAAGGGACTAGCTCCCTGACCAGGTAAAAACTGCGGCTGTTTATGGTTCTTAGCAGGTGGCATCTATTGTGAAGTTAAATCCAATCATGTCTATTATCTATCAAAACTTATTTAGATCATCATTCTCTTGTAGATTTAAGATATTCAAAACTCCAGAAATGGCATTTCATTAGGCCAGAACAGTTACAGGTAGTGGATATTCTGGTACACAATCTTCCACTATATTTGCCTTTTCCTGAACACACTCACCAGCCCTGCTGGGAAGTCTTTTCTAACTAATCAACTCCATAGGCTCTTCTTAAATGTCACCTTCCCCAAAGTCTTCCCTGTTCCCACCTGACAACTTTTTTCCTACTTAAAACTCTCAGAGGGCTTCCCTGGTGGCGCAGTGGTTGGAAGTCCGCCTGCCGATGCAGGGGATGCGGGTTCGTGCCCCGGTCCGGGAAGATCCCACGTGCCGTGGAGCGGCTGGGCCCGTGAGCCATGGCCGCTGAGCCTGTGCATCCGGAGCCTGTGCTCCGCAACGGGAGAGGCCACAACAGTGAGAGGCCCGCGTACCCGTACCGCAAAAAAAAAACCTCTCAGAGATCTTGTATGTATAACCCTTACTTGTATTTACCCTTTTCTATACCTGTCTAGTGATGGAATTAATAAAATATGAACAAAATGGCCCATGAACTTGCAACACTCTAGGAAGAAACTCATGTATTCTACAACAAATGATCCTCAAAGATCAGAACTCAAGGCGTTATTTATAAGAAATATTAACGTGTACTGAAAAGATTTAAAGTCGTATGTAGTTCTATTCACAAATTCTAATTGGGTAAGAATGAAAACAAACTCTATAAACAACATATTATATTTTAATATCACACAAAGCAAAGTGAAAATGAAATTAACCATTACAACTTGAAGTTCTCATATAATTTATTCCTATAATTCAGAGATAAAAATCCAAATATGCTTAGGACAGGGGCGTGAAAATCATACTGGATGCTAATCCCAGTGCAAATGAAACAAATTCAAACTATCTGACAGGTGTGCAAATCAAACCTCATTGCCTACTAGCATTCCTTTAACTAAAGCAGAAATAAAAGTTGTCAAACAAAGAGGGAACATGAATGGATTTTAGAACAGAAAGTATTTGATAGCAATTCTCATCCTCTTTAAGAGATAAGGTTGTCAGAGGACAAGAACTGGCAAAAAAAAAAAAAGTCCTTTCACACTCTGGAAAGATGTAGTATTTGCAAGCCTGTTACTTTTCTTTGATACATAAGGTTAGAAAAAGAAGAAATACTACAGGCCAAATTGATGTAAGGAAACAATGATACAGCAAACAATAAATAATTGAAACATTATAACCTCCTTTATAAAACAGAACAAATCATTAGTCTGAGGTAAGTTTTTAAAGTGATAAAATGTATTCAAATGGCCATATATGAAAGAACACTAAAATTTCTTAACTTTAGATTCATTGCTTTCTTTCACATCCTCATTTAGTCAGTCACCACATCCTGACAACTTTTGCTGAAAAAGTTTCCCTAACTCCTCAGAATTCAAACGCCTATGATCCTGTGATAATTTTCTAATTTTGACTCTAATTTTGTTATCTTCCCCTCAAGTTTTTTTTTCCCCCTAAAAGAATCATTTGCATCCCTGCCTTACTCAAAAACCTCCAAAAGTTTCCTCACTTCTTGTAGACTAAAGTTAAAACATCCCCATTTCACAATGTGACAGTATCAGTATACAGTCCCAAGCCTCTACTCGAGGCATAATAATCTCCTCTCTGATTTCCAGGATACAGCATGTTACTGTGCATTTTCACTCCTGCATTTCAGTTCCACTCTCCATGGTATACTACGGAGATACTATGGGTGGCCTCTGTCCACCCATCCAAATCTCTCTGTAAGGCAAACAACATTTCTTGAGCATCTACTGTGCTCCAAGCACAAACACATCATCTCAAGCATCACCATCTTTTCAAGCTCTTTCAGTCTGTAAAGGAGCTCTCCTCCCTAATGATTCCCCTCCATTTAGCATGCAGGAGGAGAGAGATGTTGCTGCACACAGGCTTTCTCTAGTTGCGGTGAGCGGGGGCTACTCTTCGTTGCGGTGCGCGGGCTTCTCAATGCGGTGGTTTCTCTTGTTGCGGAGCGTGGGCTCTAGGCGCGCGGGCTTCAGCAGTTGTGGCTCGCGGGCCCTAGAGCGCAGGCTCAGTAGTTGTGGCGCATGCAGGGGGCTTAGCTGCTCCGTGGCATGTGGGATCTTCCCAAACCAGGGTTCAAACCCGTGTCCCCTGCATTGGCAGGCGGATTCTTAACCAGTGCGCCACCAGGGGAGTCTCTACTCCACTATTTAAATCACACTGATAACGCTGTGATAAGTCAAATGAGTACCAGAGACTAAGGCTAGCAATGAAGGATAAGAGTTCATTCATTCATTCATCACATATCTGAGCTATTACCATGTGCCAAACACAGTTCGGGGTGTGACAGGCAAGAAGCCTAGTCTCGAGAAATGTGACTGTGCGTGTGCTGGGGAAAAGGAGGTAACCAACAGTGAACACAGAATCACTTTGGACTCTGACAAGTGCTTTGAAGAATATAATACAGGTTCGACTGGCTAGCGAATAAGCATAAGAGAGCTACTTCAGAGAGGCAGACAGGACGGGCCTCTCAGATTTAACTGATGAAAACTCAGCCATGTGATATAAGTTTTTAAAAATCTAACAAACCAAGGTCCCTACATTTTACTTGAGTTTCGGGTACTGTCACAATCACATTTTGAACATTACATATGTCTTATAAAACCCTCCTAAAAGACAACACTCCCCAATATGTTAAAGTAAAGCACAAATACTGTGCTCACTAAGGGCTAATCAAGATTGCTGTCTTTACAAAACAAAACAAAAGGAAAGACATTTGCTGACAGTTTCACGACACCAGGTCATGCTCTAAAAGAACACTCCAGCCCACGGCCTCTCCTTTCCTGAGTTCAGAGCTCTCAGCTCTCCTGAGAACTGCTTAAGAACCAACAACCTAAAAGAACACTTTAAGGGTATGCAGAGACCAGTTCTACTTTCTGGCTAAGAAAATTCTAACAGGAAGCAGACACTCAACTTCCTTATACAGACTGATAACTAAAATCAGTTTCACCAAGAGAAGATGCAGAAATTTTTCAGCTTGGGGTTAAATGCACCGCTCACATTGGGGGACACCAAGACAGGGCCCCAGAAAAACCAGGTCGTGGGGAAAGGGGATCCATGCCAGGCAGGCTCGGGCTCTTAATTGGCTGAAAAACACTGGGCGTCCCTTAACTAATCTTCTCGTCTGCAAACGAGCATAACAATGAGTCCTGCCTCTCAAGTTAACTGAAGCTCTAATGAGAAGGCCATAAAGAACTTTAAAAGGCGCACGGGGTGGGACAGTCTCAAGTCACTGAAACTACTTTAAGGAGGAGCGCAAGCGGGAGCCGCGCAAACCTTACCTTGACCAGCCACACTCCGGTGTTCTGCTTGGCGCCTGTCAGATCGAGTTCCCCGCGCTCGGCCATGGGTCTGTCGCCGGCGGAGGCGTGCGGGCCAGAGCAGCGGCCCCGGAAGCTGGGGGACTGCGGAGCGAGGGACCGGAGCACAGCGCGAGCCGGAGCCGGAGGCTGACTGTGAATAGCCGGGGTTCACCTGCTGGGACGCTGGGATCCCGGGAAAAGAGGAACACGCCGCCGGGAGCCGGGAACTGCGCCTGCGCGCTGCTACCGTCAGTACGGCGCACTGCTGCAGACAAACTTCCTGAGCAGGCAACTTCTTGAGTGGGTGTGGCTACTGCCGTGGGCTGTGCCCGAGTGATTAGAGCATAAGGTGGGATGGGCCAAAACGTCAGCAATACTTTCAAAGACTAGGTCAGCGTAACTGAAGAAAGAAGGTGTCAAAACAGAAAAATGGGCTTCAAAGAGACAAAGGCTGTCAGTATCTGTCCAACCCTGGCCAAGGAGAGAGAGGCAGCATTTGGAGGACAGGGTAGGAGTAATAAAGTGAATTAGCACAAGTGGTCTCAATTGAAAGGCACCCTGAGCACCTCCAATTAAACAAGCAGAGTACACCCCTTTAGACTCCAAAACCCGGAGCCCTGTAATTAGGTCAATGACAATAGACATGTAACAGACAAATCTGATTGTAAACTTCCCTGCTTATAGAATTTCCTCTCTCTCTTCTTGCCTCTAGAATAAAATTCAATCCTCTCCACACAGGCCCTCTCAGTTTGATACCTGCCACTCAATGCACCACACATCCAACCACACCTAACCCATCAGACCTCCCTGAATACAGCAGAATGTTCCTCAATTATTTCAGAGCCTCTGCACACTGGATTCCCTTTACTCAGATGCCCTATTCTTCCCTTACCCTCATTCTCACCTCTGTCTTCTGATTGCCAGACTCCTACTTAGGTGTCAAGACTAATGGAAATGTCACTTCCTATGAGATCTTTTATCAACTCCCCAGAGGAAGTTTCATTTTTCTTCACATCACAGTGTGCGATACTTAGCATGATGCATTATAATATACATGTTTACATGCTGCCTTTGCTTTCTAGACTATGAGCTCCTCCTAGGCAGAAATAGTGTTTAATTCATTTTTTATTCACAGCATCTGGCACAATGCTTGACACCCTGTCAGATTTCAATAGGCTTTGGCTGAATGAACATTTGCTGAAAGAGAAACAGACAGTAAGATATTGTAAGAATGGCAAGTAATGTATTGAATCCTGCATCAGAACCGTACACATAATTGAAGAAATTCCATGTCTGTGCAGCATAGGGCTAGAAAAAGCTGTCAGGTCACTGAGATCAGCTGGGAAAACTAACAGGAAAAATAGGAGACGAGGCATGCGTTAAAAAGGAAGATTGCATTCTTGTGTTACAGCTTGGGAAATGGCCTTAAAAGATATAAAGGACAAGTGGATAAAGAGAGCTGCTTTAAGCTTTGATCAAATAGAAGGAATAAATTAAAATATGAGACCATAAGAGAAGAGACTTAATGTAGTCTGGATGACCCTAGTAATGACCTTTAGAGTAAAGGATTAGAACCTTGGCCTTGATCTGTGGCTTATGGGAAGCCTAAAAATGTGTGTGTGTGTGTGTGTGTGTGTGTGTGTGTTTACAGGGATTGGGGGAGAACAAATAGCTAAAGAAGAAGAAATGCCTAAAGAAGAAAGGAAAAAGTGAATATTTTTAAATGATTATATAAGGAAGAAGAAGAAGAAAAAAACTTACTGAGCACCTCATCCTCCTACATTGCTGAATAAAGAACAGACTTCTTCTATCTGTCCTTTTCAAATTTCCTTCCAGCTTGAAGAGGATGCTTATGAGCTGTGAGAGGAAAGGAGGATGCGGGCTCCATGAAGCAGATTCACAGATTTACTTTGGAGACCAGCAGGGTAGCATATATTACAGCTAGATCCTTCACCCTCCTAAGGGCCTATTATATGCCAGACATCGATAATTTTGGCCCAATCCAGCTTTATGTTCTTTCCACCATGATCCCATGCCCTTAATATCCATTCCCACACAGGTTCTATGGATTTCTGCTGTGGTCAATTAGGCATACTCAGTACAGATATTTTAGGTATCTCTATTGCCCAATCATGCCAGAGACCATTAGTGTTCTCTTTACTACTTGAAATAGAGTCATCAGCATCTTTAAATCTAATTAGATTAGACAGCCAGTTCCAAAAACCCAGAACCAATTTAGGAAAACCTATCCTTAACACCATGTTCCTCTAGGATCACTCTCAGTACCAAATAAGTATTAGGCAGGGTTCTCCAGAGAAACACATGATAGATAGATAGATAGATAGATAGATAGATAGATAGATAGATAGATAGATAGGCATTTACTGTATAGGAATTGGCTCACATGATTATGGAGGCTGAGAAGTCCTAAGATCTGCATTTGGCAAGCTGAAGACCAGAAGAGCCAAAGGTATGCTTCTAGTCTGAGTTCAAAGGCCTGAGAGGCAGGAGAGATGATGGTGTAAGTTCCAGTCCAAATCTGAAGGCAGGAGATGATTTAATGTCCCAGCTTGAAGACAGGCAGAGAGAGTGCATTCTCCCTTACTGAACCTTTTTTTCTACTTTGGCCTTCAACTGATTGGGTGAAGCTCACCCATATTGGGGAGGACAATCTGCTTTACTCACTCTACTGATTCAAACGTTAATTCATCCAGAAATACCCTCACAGACACACCCACAATAACATTGGACCAAATATCTGGACAAACTGAGGCCCAGTCAGGTTGGCACATAAAATTAACCATCACAGACAGATACAGAGGTCACCACACAAAAAGGAAACTCACAAATTCTTTACTCTCCCAGATGATTGAATAGTCAAGTTTTTTTTTAATGGAAAATGTCAGTACCTTATCTTATTATTATTAATGTAAGTATGTGATGCCAAAGAAATGAAGGTAATTTTACAAACTCAGAATTTTGGCAAATACAAGAAATTTCCATTTTATTACAGTTTTATACCACATTAGTTCAAATGCATTTCTCTACAGTTCCTTCAACAGAGCTCCTCTGGAATTATTTCAGTCATCCTTAACATGTGACTTTACCAAAGACTTTGAATGTAAAATAAACGTATAAAATTTCAAATTAGTAACTTTTAATTATGAATGGGATAAGAAATAAAGTCATCAGATGATGGCCGGGGATATTAATTTCCAACAAGACACTTTGTTGAAATGTTTTTTCTGATACCCCAGATATAAATGAAAACCTTCAAAAAAAAAAAGGGCAGAACCAAAGTACAATAAAGAAGCCTCCGCAGCTTAAGCCTCCCATAGTCCTAAACCTCTAGGCCTGTGAGCTACGGCCGCTGAGCCTGCGTGTCCGGAGCCTGTGCTCCGCAACGGGAGAGGCCACAACAGTGAGAGGCCTGCGTACCGCAAAAAAAAAACAAAAAATTACAAATGAATGTGGCAATGTGGTCATTAATTAGATTTCCCCTATACTAGTGATGGTATAGATCGATAATTTTGCTTTGATATCACACCACGGCTATATGATCCCATCTGTAAATTCTCCCTGCCTCTCCCTTTGACCTCTCAGTTCTCTCTTTCACAGAATACCTGCCTTCCCCGGCAGAGTCCTTTCTTCCCCAGTCATCCACAAACAAAAAGAAATACTCCCTGAAATAGTTTCCATGTTGTTAGCACGAGCAAATTGTTGAGCATGAGCTGTGGAGTCATGGCTTCAAGTTATAGTATTGCTGCCTACTACCTTAATTATTTCTTCATCTCGGCACCTAATTCCTAGCTTATAAAATGGGATTATTATACCTACCTTGTAGAGTTCTGACATGATTAAATGTGAAAATAAATAAAAAAGACTTGGGCTTCCCTGGTGGCGCAGTGGTTGAGAGTCTGCCTGCCGATGCAGGGGACACGGGTTCGTGCCCCGGTCCGGGAAGATCCCACATGCTGCGGAGCGGCTGGGCCCGTGAGCCATGGCCGCTGAGCCTGCGCGTCCGGAGCCTGTGCTCTGCAACGGGAGAGGCCACAACAGTGAGAGAGGCCCGCGTACTGCAAAAAAAAAAAGACTTAACACTACAATGTGAAAACTATGTGGTAACTGCATTAATTATATTGGGTCAAATAATTGAAAGGAAACACAAAAAATTTATTATAGGCAGTGGTGTGCTGGTACATGTTTAACAACTGGCTTTTTCTAACCCCCAGAAAAAGCCCTGGTTTGTAATGTTTGCCTGATTTTTTTTTTTGAGGATCCAGTTTATTTATTTATTTAAAAAAAATTTTTTTTTTTGGCCACACCTCGTGGCTTAGTTCCCTGACCAGGGATCGAATCTGGGCCCCCTGCAGTAGAACCGCAGAGTCCTAACCACTGGACCTCCAGGGAAGTCCCTGTTTGCCTGATTTGCAGTGTGAAGTTGGATGAGATGCATATTAGCATGGCATCGTATAGTATTTTCACCCAATGGCTACATTAGATGGAAATAGAGCACATAGACAATCGTAAAATACAGTAAAATAATTGAGAAGTGATGAGTTTTTGGTTTTATTATCTTGGTGTTCAGTATAATTTATTTAATCATTAGTGTTCTGGAGAAAAGGGAGTAGCATGAGAACCTGCTGTATAGCATAGGGAACTCCACTTTGCTGTACAGCAGAAGCTAACACAACATTATAAAACAACTATACCCCATTTTTAAAAAAAAAAGGGAGTAGCATCTGCAAACCCCAAAGGGACCTATGTGTTGGTGCCTGTGGAGCGGGGGGATGCCAGCAGGCAGGGCACAGTGAGTGGGTGACAAAGCAGTGATAATGCCACCAGCTGGAGAGGGAATGGGAGGTCAGCCCATGCAAGGCCTTGCAGGCCTTGTTCAGATCAAATATAAACTTGAAGAAGCAGGGTTTTTTTTTTGGCTGCGCCGCGCGGCTTGCGGTATCTTAGTTCCCTGACCAGAGATCAGCCCAGGCCCTCAGTAGTGAAAGCGTGGAGTCCTACCCGCTGGACTGCCAGGGCATTCCCTGAAGAAGAGTTTTAAGCCTGAGTATAAAATTATCAGATTTGCTTTTTTTTTTTTTTTTTGCGGTACGCGGGCCTCTCACTGCTGCGGCCTCTCCCGTTGCGCAGCACAGGCTCCGGACGCGCAGGCTCAGCGGCCATGGCTCACGGGCCCAGCCGCTCTGCGGCGTGTGGGATCCTC